TCCAATGTGCATCACCTTGCACTTGGCCACATTGAACCCCATTTGCCATGTTGACGCCCACTTGCCCATCCTTGACAGATCCGTTTGGAGTGCCTCACAATCCTCAGTGGTTTTCACCACCCTGAACAACTTCGTATCATCCGCAAATTTAGCCACTTCACTGCGTACTCCCTACTCCAAATCATTGATAAACAAGTTAAAGAGCACTGGGCCGAGTACTGATCCATGTGGTACCCCACTGCTTATCACCCTCCAATGAGAAAATTGCCCATTTATACTCTCTCTCTGTTTCCTATTAATTGGCCAGTTTTTCATCCACAAAAGGACTTGTCCTTTTATCCCATGACTATTGAGCTTAGTTAGGAGCCTCTGATGAGGAACTTTATCAAAAGCTTTCTGGAAGTCAAGGTAAACAACATCTATGGGGTCCCCCTTGTCCACATGTTTGTTCACTCCCTCAAAGAATACTAACAGGTTAGTGAGACAAGATCTTCCCTTACAGAACCCATGCTGAGTCTGCCTCAATAGTTTTTGTTCATCAATGTGCCTACTAATTCTTTCCTTAATAATGGTTTCCACCAATTTACCCGGTATCGAGATCAGACTGACTGGCCTGTAATTTCCTGGATCTCCTCTGGAACCCTTTCTAAAGATGGGAGTGACTTGGCTAGGTGCAGTTATGTAGATTAGGCATGATGCCAACTCAGGGTAACATGATTTACAGAATGCTTAAGAACATGAATAAGAGAACACCATAGCCCAAAACATTAGTGAGCATAAAGGCCAAACACAGCTGTTCTTAATTTTATTGTCTGAACATGTTCCTTTACCTGGATCAAGGCTAAAGGTTTATCTCTAGTACGGATAAGAGCAGCTTCTTGCTGGAGTTCTTCCTCTACAATTTCTGCAAATGTGATGGGTGTTGCTGCAGCCAGACTTGGCAAGGATGTTGCTAACCAAGGACTGCAAGGTAAATTATAAACGCAAGAGATGATGAGCACTCGGCATATTCTTTTTTTAACATAAGTTTTACTTTAAAATCCAACTTACTTTGGACTCTCTGACTGTACTGGTTCGCAGGAATTGTCATTTTCTGCATCAAGACTGGCAATGGTTGCGCATCTAGAGTGGGAAAATATCAGCAGACCTGTCGATTAGCCATACCTTCATGAAGCAAAAAGGCTGTTAAGCAGCATGAAGCCTAGCGTACTCTACTGAATCCCCACAGGCTAAGCAAGTGGGGTTTTCAGTGGCTGCATGATTACCCAGTACCGCACTTAAAACTGTAAGCAGGCTCTGGAGCTTTGAGATATTCCCTACTAGAATATGAGTCAGTGGAACAGTATTTAGGTTGAGGGGGAGCGCCGACATTTGACTGGAATTTTTTCCTTTAAACTATGTGTGGAAAGGATGGGATAAGGAACAGAAAAGGGGTAGAATGAGCAATTGTTCCTCTTGAGTGGTGGAGACTGAACAGACCAAGGTGCAGAAACGTTAAAATGCCACATGTCTCCTTAAAGGTAGACTGTACGTCTAAATATAAGTTGATTTTTCAATCCTTCACTTTCATTAGGTGAACTGCTGTGCAAATCCAAAGGAATAACCACAAACACACTTCCCCCACTTCTGAGAATCAGCGCCTTCAAGACATTATAAACTACCATCATAAATTTTAGGCATCTCTAGCCTGCATTCTGAAAATACTATGTAACCGAATTGGTGCTTCTCAGATATAATTTTATTGCAAACTTTTTCATATTTATTGCTCTCAGCAGTCCACCTAGCAACATGATTTTTAAGGCTATAAAGCTAACATTAGAAAAGAAAACACATCAACTAAAATTAAATGCTGTAGATTTAGATGCCTATATCAATTTACACTATTGCTAGAAAATCGGTTTATAAATAGTGGAAACAGAATAATTTATGTGTTCACCTTAGAGACTTCACAGTTTGTGCATCCTCAAGTTCTTTAACCCAAGCTTTTCTGGAACTAGTACCTACTCCACAAAATTTTTCTTCCTCGACCAGGAGATCACGGAATGAGCTTTGCAAAGCAGAAGGCAATGAAGTAGACCTGTAACAGAAACCAGGAACACAGTCTCAAATGCTTATACCTAATACCTTCTAGCACAATAGCGGAGTAAAGCAAAAATCCTGCTACTGTTATGATTCCATGAAATCCTACACAGCTATGGATGTATTTACTTCAAAATAATTGTATCTCCCTGAGAATTATTTTAATTAATAAACTATGCTTGCATAAACATCCTAGTATATATCAATCCATTGGACCTCCACAGGTGTTTATATAGATAAGTCTGTCTTTATATTGGTGCAGACCAGCCATTTAGAGGTATGGAGCACTCTTCCAGGATATAGTGAGTAGAACAAAATTTGACCATTCCAGTGCATCTTGAAAGTCAGGCAGAACAAAGAGCTGGGGAAGCCTCTTTCTAGCACAAAGTACAGCACACTTGTATTTGCAAGAGCTGTCTCTACTGACACATCACCATTTTCATATTACAGATTCACCATTTTGTTGTCCATCCAAATACATTCTTTTGGGACACATCGACAGGGTTAGAATAGCTTATTTTCAGAACTTGGTTCTGGAACACTGTTATGGTTTTAATGAATACTTTTTTTTCTTATGCACAAAATTTGGGCTGTGGCTTGTTCACTACATTTGTGGCTCCAAATGTGACAGCCCCCCAATTGTTCTGCTTTTCTCATGGCAGATGACTGGGATGGGCCTTTGTCAGAGACTATAAAAGCTGAAGAGTGAATACCACTGATTTAAAGTGTTAACGGCCCATGTTTTAACTGTTTGTAAGTCTTATGAGTGATTTTCCACACTGAAGTAGTCTGGGGCAATGCTCCCTCTAAGCTGTGGAGTCTTGTGAACAAAAATTCTACTTTGTGAGCTACTGGCATTAAAGTTGTGAGTGACCAATTTTGCTACTGCATAAATTAGTTTGCTCTGCTGCCATCCTTACTGAGCCAAGACAAAAATGTGTGAGCCAGAGGCTAAAAAACTGTGAGCTAGCTCACACTAACTCAGCTTAGTGGGAACACTGCTCTAGGAGTATGTGTATATAAAATTTTAGCCTTATGTCAGTTTTAGAAATCCTTTATGTTTTCTGTTAACATTGAGGCATGTACACTTCCCATCAGACTGTAGTAATAACCAAGGTGCCTTAAACTATGTGTGAACCCCATTTTCAGGTACAGAAGAACCAGTTCGATAATGCTGTCATATCAGTCTCATGCTACTTTACTTTTAAAACATAATGTATAGAATTAGTCATCATAAGAGGTATGAAGATGTTACTTGAGAACCTGTCAATTGACTGAAATGTTGATTTCACAACCTGAAATGTAATGATATTCCATCCCAGCAAAAGCAAGATCAAATTATATAATGTCAGGAGTACCTCTCAAGTAAAGAACTGATTGACACTAGCCTTCTGTGCCCTCTGGTATATGCGAAATTACATGGTATGTTCAATTCTCTTTCAATTTCCCCATCCCCTTTATGTATAAAGTTTTTACAATTATCTAAACGTTAAGATTAATTAGGAAAAATAAGCCCAAAGAATTCTGAACTACCCCAAACTGTGAAACTGGATGCTTCTGTTGGAACAAAAAAAAGAATGCATGGTTAAAGATATGTTGAGTTTCCATGTCAACCAAAAAAAGTTCCAGAAGGTCCCACACCCATCTGGCACCCTGTCTTGACAGAAGAGCTGCTGAATTTCCAAGACAAGTATCTTGTTTCATGGCAAACACACAAACGTTCTGAAGAATGCCACATGCAAGCATGGAAACCTCAAGTTAGCGCCAAATGCATGCATATGAGTTTGTTTTATAGACTTTTAAAAACAGGATTATGCCATAAGGCAACTAAAGGGTGACAAGAGAAAATACACTTCTTTATTTAAAAAAACCAAAAATTCATAATGAGAACTACATTTTAAACAACAAATTTGTTTAAAGCCATCAGTGTAACGTCTCTTTTTCACAAGGAAATGAACACTAAAATAAACAGTATTTTCAAGGAATCATTTCTTTTTTAATCATTGATTTTTTAAAGTTACCGATTGTCATAGTTTTTAAAAAAAACCACCTCTTGGGTTTTTACCATTTTCCATTTTTGCAGCCAAAAGAATGTTGTGAAGGAACAGTCATGTATGCCTATATGAAAGTTTGATGAGAATTCTGCAGTAGAATACCAGCAGCCCAAGGCAGAACAGAAGTGGACAGAATGTTGGATTTACACACCAGGTTGAAATACCCACTAATTCATCGAGACTGCAGGTTGATTTGGGGCCAAGTGCTATCTGTCAGTATAACTCACCTCACAAGGTTGTCAGGAGAATACTATGGGGAAATGCCAAGGAAGGAGGAGCAAGGTGCAAATATGATAAATAAGCACCAGCAAGCGATCCCTTTGATTAACATGCCTTAGAAAAATCAGCTTTACCTCCTAACTAGATCCCAGCTTCAATCCCTGCCATCTGTTTGCTAAAAGGTACTTAAACATCAAAGTTGGAAAGACTTTTGCCCAAAGCCATGACAAGCCACTACTACCAGGATCAGATAGTTGGGCCAAAGCAGATTCATATGTTTAGAAGTTACTACCAGGATCAGATAGTACTCAGCTAGATGGGCCAAAGCAGATTCATATGTTTAGAAGATAACAAGTGTGAACCCACAAGGAGTCGCAGGAGGCATCTAATTTCTCTCTCCCCCACAACTTCCTCCTTCCCCACTATTTTCTCCTTTTTCTGAAAGCCCCCATAGCCTCTCCCTGTTTCCTGCTTGCTTCTACCCTTCCCACCCAGTAGCCAACCTATCTTTATCTGCCACTTCGTTTTCAAGTTTCCCTCTCCTCCCCCCCATCCCTTAGGGTTCCCCGCTCCAGGTTGGGAAATTCCAGGAGAATTGGGCATGAAGCCTTCAGAGGATGAGGTTTAGGAAGGGAAATGACCTCAGCAGGGTATAATAATGCCAGACTCCATCCTCTAAAGCAGCCATTTTCTCCAGGGGAACTGATCTCTGTCATTTGGAGAGCAGCTGTAATTTTGAGTGATTTCCAGCCCCCACCTGGAGGTTGACAACCCAAGTCCCCTTGGAGGAAATGGCTGCTTTGAAGGGTGGAGTCTGTGGCATTATGCCCCTCTGAGGTCCATCCCCTCCTCAAACCCCACCGTCCCCAGGCTCCACCCCCTAAATCTCTAGGTAATTCCCTAGCCTGGAGTTGGCAACCCTACCGCCTTCCCACCCAACAGTCAAACTACCTTTATCTGCCTCTCTGTCTATCACTTTCCTTATCACCTGCCTTCAGCAGCCTCTACCTAGGAAAGCTGAACAGTAGGAAGTAACCTATACTACTAGAGGATCTTAGCTCATAGTACCAGTATCATCAGAAAAAAGAGCTGAAGAAATGTGCTAAAGTGACCTTTATATATCTAAAGTAACAATACTATAATAATAATAATGCCGGGGTCCAACATACCTAAGGGACCGCCTTTCCCCATATGTTCCCCTGCGAGCACTACGGTCGGGGACGCAACATCTCCTGATGATTCCAGGCCCCAAGGAAACCAGGCTGGCGGCTACCAGGGCCAGAGCTTTCTCGGTGGCAGCTCCTTCCTAGTGGAACGAGCTCCCGGAGGAGATCCAGCCCCTGCGGGACCTTGTGCAGTTCCGCAGGGCCTGCAAGACGGAGCTCTTCCACCAGGCCTTTGAGTAGGAGCCGCCACCATTGTACTATCACTATCATTCCATCATTAGTTTACCATCATTATTAACTGGCCCTGTGAAGAGAGAACGACAGCGTCACGTGGAACTGACACCACTGATTGGATGTACTATCATTGAGATGCCATCTTGATGGAAGATTATTTTGGAACATCTAGAGCACTTAATATGTTGTAATACTGTAGTAGTGGTTTTATATGGTTTTAACTTGTTTTATGTGTTGGCTTATGCCTACCTGTGAGCCGCCCTGAGCCCGCGCAGCGGAAAGGGCAGGCTATAAATTGAAATTTTAAATAAATAAATAAATAAATAAAACAGCATATAAAATGTTGTTGATGAAGTTCTCCAGCTTATCAAGTCATTTCGCAAAGCTTCATCCGAACAGGATCATACATACCTTACAGTATTTCAGTAATATATAATTATAAATTGGAAAAGTGCAATGTACCATAAATCTCAATAAATAATTTAAATAAATAATTTTATCATTACATACATATGTGTCTTCTAGTATTAGTTAATTGTTCTGGTTTGTCCATTGTCGAGTAAAAGCAGTGGTTTCTGCAGTATCTTATAATGTAGTCTATAAAAATACAATTTACACACAATATCATAAGTTTGCCATAATAGAATACATAGTTACTTCATAACATTTAATGTTGTTTTGTAACATTCAAGTAGCCTATTCAACAAATAAGACTGAAGGAAGAGTTGGAAAGTGAACTCACCTGTATTTTCTATGTCTTATTAACATGCATTTAGAGTTGAAAACGGGGCATCTGGGCGAAAGATCACGGAAGCCTTGACAGGTGTTTCTGCTGAACAGTCTTATATAGTAACAGCGCCCTTTAGTGGCAAGTTTAAAGGCATAGCAACTTAACATCTATTCACTTCCTGTGTTACATTCAAACTTATTTGTTATATTTTACTTGAAACAATAGTGCCAGTCATAAGAAATAAGAAAATTCTAAATACACCCCAAGGGTAACATGTTTTTAGTCTAAACATCCATGTTGGGAAATGAACTAATTTATGGTTTTATATCTGCTACACACGCAACACATGGACTGTGCACACATTTGTATACCATGAGCCAAAGAAAGCTGTTTGCATCACCTACTGTGAGAGAGAGACTTCACATAGGGAACGCTTGCCTGCATTTTATGTTAATGTAGCTTGCACACATTCAGCTCAGAGCATCATGGGAAGAAGGAGCACATGTTAGCCATTGTGAGCAGAGACCAACAACCAAGAGGAGGAATTCCCCCATTACTGAAAAGATGAGATGTCACGCAGGACACGGACCTGATCTGCATCTGTATTGCAAGTTTGTTTCTGCCTGGAAAAGCCAATATTCATCTGTACTTCAAAGAGGATACAGGAAGCAGACATTTCACACCTGGCCAGATGGCATTCCATGAGATAGAGTGTAGTATTTCAAATATTGACCCAACCCATAGCATACCTGCCCCTTTCTCACATGCACCAATAGGGAAAAGCTATGGGATGCACTTGTAAGTAGGTGGGATTACAGATCGGAAAGGTGCCACCCACCTGTAGATTCAACAATAAAAGTAAAGACCCAAACCCTAGGTCCTTTGCTAGCCACCTCCCTTCTCTACGACCTCTATCTTCTTTACTATCCCTAAGGTCCAGCTTTCTATCCAACAATCCTTTTGTCTACCTTAAGATCTCTTGGACTGCAGCCAAAGAGATCCATGCTTGCTTAGTTGGTTCTAGCAGGTGTGATTTAGCTTAAACCCCTAGGTATTACTTTCTACCCCATTCCCATTGCAACAGACAAGACTTCTGGAAACAGGCGAGTATAAACCGAAATAGCTACCTACCTACCTCCAAGTAACTGAGAATCTATTTTATTTCTATTTCTGTAACTCTAAAGGGAACCTGAATGTATGCGAAGTGAGACTGATGTTTTTGTATGTGTGACTTTGATATTCTTCAGTAAAAAGATTATTTGTTTTGGAAAAACACCCATGTGGTCTACATTACTGGGACTCTGGGTTCGGACATGACCCTGGTATAGCTGGCCAGAACTCACGTTAAAAATTTAGTTGGCCTCACAGCCCGGAATATCACTTGGCGTAACATCCAGAAGGCACTCGTATATCTATTCTATTATATTTTTTGGATTTATTATTTCCAATACAACAGATTTAAAATCCTCATTACTATGACCTTTTTCTATAAAATGTTGGACTAAAGGCGCAACCATATATCTGTGTTTAATACATGACTTGTGTTCAATAATCGGTGTTCTCAATGAACGTGTGGACATACCAATGTAACTGAGTCCACAGGGACATTGTAAGGGATATATGACTCTCTTGGTGGAACAGTTAGAGAAAAAGGAAATATTTCTTCTATAATTGGCTTCAGGAAAGTCTAAAAACTGAGTCTTCCAAGATTGTGCACAGACTGAATATCTGGCACGTTTGTAGTGCCCTGTGGCAGATAACGTCATGGTTCTAGGTGGTGAAATATGAGCTCTAATAAGATCACGTATACTGTTGGTCTCACGGAAACCTACAAAGGACTTCTTTTCACAGCCCGGAATATCACTGAGAATATCCCAGTGCTTCATAATTATATTACGAATGGAATATGCCAATGGTGTATAGTTTAATGCCCAACTGATTTTAGTCTTATTTTTAGCAGTTGTTTCTTTAAAATAAATCTATCCTTTGGACCTTATATGCACGTGTATAAGCCCGAGTAATTATCTCTGAAGGATAACTCTGGTGAAAAAACTTATCATAAAGCTTAAGACACTCCTCCTCAAAATCACACAAAAAAGTAGAATTCCTCTTGGCACGCAAAAACTGGCCATAAGGGAGATTTTTCCTAAGGTGTCTGACATGAAATGAATTGCAATGTAAATAAGAATTCTTATCTGTACTTTTACAGAAAGGACGTACTGCCAAGCTACAATCATGTATAAACACAGCTGTATCCCAAAAATTGATGTTGAACTTATCGAATTGATGTGTAAACTTAATTGAAATATGTAATGAGTTAAGCCAATCTACAAACTCTTGTACAACAAAAAAATCATCCAATATCATAGAGAGATCATCAATTTATCTTTTGTAATAGAGAATATGTTCAAAAAAAGGATTATTGGTCTCATTACACCTGGTATTTCTGGCCACTGTGTGACACAGAGTGTTGGACTGGATGGGCCTTTGGCCTGATCCAACATTGGCATCTCTTATGTTCTTATTTCTAGTAAAAGACATCTATTGTAACTACAACAGCCTCAGAATCCTTTGCTGGTCACCCAAGGTGGGATCAGGACCTTGGTATACATTGGCAAGAACCCATTTATAAATTGCCAATTGCTGTAAATAAAGCAATTCGGCTAACAGGGTCGAAGGGCGGGGCCCTCCTCTCCTGAAGTAGTAGCAGAATCTTCCGCTTCAGTTGTCTCATAGTCTGAAAAAGATTGATGGGAGTCCACCCAAGTAACCCATCTGTTTGAACTAATACTAGGGGCACACCATTTATAAACTGTTTGGGGAGTAGTCCCTATGGTCTCTTTCAAACGTCTTAATTTTGGTCTCTCTAGCCTTTTTTTCATAAGCTTTAAGTTCTTCTTTTAGTTCCTTAAAGTGTGATTCATATGTATCATGTAGAAGCATTTTATAGAAAGAGGTCATAGTAATGAGGATTTAAAGTTTGTCGTATTGGAAATAATAAGTTCAAAAAAATATAGTTCTTTAGAATTTTCTTGTTTCTTATGACTGGCATTATTGTTTCAAGTAAAACCACTGCTTTTACTCTACAATGGACAAACCAGAACAATGAACTAATACTTGAAGACACATATGTATGTAATGATAAAATTATTTATTTAAATTATTTATTGAGATTTATGGTACATTGTACTGAAATACTGTAAGGTATGTATGGTCCTGTTCGGATGGAGCTTTGTGAACTGACAGGCCTAGTTGAGTCATACAAGTTGTGTGGTATCAAGTCACCCAGAGATTGCCACCAGGCCTAAGGTTGCCAACCTCCAGGTAGGACCCGGAAATCTCTTAGAATTACAACCCAGATCACAGAGAGCTGCTTCCTTGGGTAAAACAACTGCTTTGGAGGGTGGACACTATGGCATTATATCTGGCTGATGCCCCTCACTTCCCCAAACCCTACACTCCTCAGACTCCACCACAAAATCTCCAGGAATTTTTAGACCTGGAGCTAGCAATCCTAATCAGGCCCGTCCCCAATGAGTTCTCCCTCAAAGGCCAAAAGGGGCCTGGAAAGGGCCCTGACCCTCCCCTCTGCCTTTTTACTCACATAACACAACTTTGCCTAAGATAAACGGCTATTTCATATGTTTAACTTCTATTGGCATTCGGCTATTCATTCAATCACGGGCAAAACTATTCTCGCTTCTTCAATGAAGTACTTTCTAATAGTCCAGAATTGTCCACCATTCCCACCCTCCCCCTCCACTTGAAGTTTTGGGACAAATAATGTTTTTGGTTAAGGATTACAGGCACACACCTACCATAAAAAAATTTTTAGAACGCTTTTAGGTTGGATGAAAACTATTCCTACAAAGCAAATGATTCAATGATCCCAGACCTCTGTACACCATATGAACAAGTTTAGTGTCAACTTGCATGTTAACATTCACACAGATTTTCCCCATATGTCCACCGTGATCTTGTTGACAGATGTGGTTTCAGAGATGTGTGTTCAGAACTGAATTCCCAGGCAGGTGGGGGACCAATTTGGACTGGGTCCACAGCATGCAAAGAAAGGGAACTTAAGCACCCCTGCCCCATCTTCCTCATCTGAAATGTCCCTGGGGAGCTGCTATTTCCACATTTGGGGAAACCACGTAGCTCATCTGTATACATAAATTCCTTCAATGGGACAAACAGTGGTTGCCTGGGGCCATTTCAGGTCAGAAAAATGGCATATGAGGGGCTTTAAACATTACCTGCATGTGCATTACAGTTTCAATCTAAAGTAATATGATTTCAAAAGCAAAGTTCTTAGTCAGCAGTTATACTAACATTGTTATCACCAGGCTCTGGCTTATCTGAACACAGCAGCAAGAGATAAGAACAAATAAGAATTTCACCATTCAGATTATGTCTCTCATTACAATCTGGTTTCTATAACACCATCATATCAAAGTGTGAATCATATCCAAATGTGATCCGAGTGGATCAAAACGAAGCATTTTAAAAGATACAGTGCATTTAAAGTCCCCACACACTGACATAAAAGCATTAATAAAAAACATACCACACATTCCCCGGCTTTGCAGCTCTTCGTGGTGCAGGCAGCACAGCTGCATCTGGCACAACCTCTGGGCTGCTATCCTTAGCAGCCATGGCAATCAGCTTCCTTTGCTTTTGAGAAAGCTTATTCCCATGAGAAGTGAGTCTGCTAAAAATTAAAACAGTTCTGTAAAGATAAGCCTGCCATAACTTTCCAGAAAACCAAATGCTAAACAGAACAGTCATATGGGAAACTACAAGATGGACTTTTTATTAGTTATACAAGTCCCAGAAGTACAAAAATACTGGCTTGCTCTCTAAATCCCTGTCAGTGGGCAGCAGCAGCAGCAGCAGCAGCAGCAGCAGCAAAGAATAAATAAAAATCTTACCAAGTCTTCCAATTCCAGATTTGACTGTAATGTCTTATAAAGTTTATTTTGTTCCTTTTATTAATGAACAGTATTTAAGAGGGAAATGGAGTATTGTAGCATTACTGTGCTGTTTGTAGTATTACTACAAACACAAATGTCCACAATAAAAGTTTTTTAAAATCCTGCACAGTTAAGACTTTTCCTTTAAATGCTAACCAGTTTAATAATACTGTTTATTTTATTATTTATCCTAAAAGTTATATCCATTGACAAGCCCTGGTATTGTACAAACCTCGAATTGATCTTTGGCATGGCTCCACATTTTTGCACGTTTTCTTCGATTTCCATAATTGTTCTTAAATCCATAGCGGGAGGACTGGCTGGACTGAATGAAAAAACAACAAGTTGCTACTTTTTAAAGATGTGCATTTTTTACTTACATCCCAATTGCCAAACATCACTCACATCTTATATATCTTGAATACATTTTGTAACTGGATGTATAATTTATGTCTGCTTCCTCAATTATGGCAAACCTCAAATAGAATGTTTTCAGACAAACATTTTATTCATTTGTATACTTTAAAAAAAACACACCAAGGACACTTTTAGGTCTCCTGAAGATGTTGAATTAAATGCTTTAAAACGCATAGTTTATATGAAAGCCTGGTTACACTTCTTTCAAAACCTACTTCAAACTTAATCCTTTAAGATGGCAAGTTCAAGATGCAATCAGTATACAGTTAATAGTTGTAATAGCTCCCCTTTTTCAATGGAACTAGCATTATCAGGGTGGTGTCATGTAACTGTAATTTTTAACAGAGTTATCCCAGGCACTGCACAAATAACCTGATTAACACAAGTCTCATCACACATTCTGGCTGGAAAATGTATCACTCAGCAAATATGGGAACAAAAAATATACCTAAAAGAACTGACAACCCAATTGGAAGAGCTTGCAGAGGCATTTTTGTTATTAGGAATGCACCATGGTGGTGATTTTTTTTGCAATGAAGCCTCTTTATTGGCATGTGGAACAACTGTGCTGGAAACACACATCCTCTCTTTCACCTGAAATCAAGACATTGAAAGTTATACAGCTTCCTTCATGTATTTAGAAACATAACTGATTAGGGTAAGAGGCAGGCATATATAAGAACAGACATGGAACAAAACCCAGTAATGCGTCCATCCAAAAATGCCTTTGGCCTACATGTGTGGGATTCACAGAGCTACTTTAGGCATGCCCAAGAGTGCTTTGTCCCCCCACCCCTTGCATAGCTACCCCTCAGGTCACACTGTGCTACTTTTGACACTCTGGGATTTTGTAACATGTCTGTGAGCAGCTATTCAGGGTTCACAAGTCTAAAATCCTGGTGGCATACGTTGTACTCAGGATAGTCCTATGAACTGCATGGTTCCATATGCCATCATACACAGGATTCAATTCTTATGAAGGTAAGTACAGAACAAAGACAGGTATCTGTCAGTGCTACATTACTCTGAGATTCTGTTTATAACTAAATCAGATTAGGGAGTTTTTAAGTAGATTTCAGCCAAACACCTCCGCATAGCTGCTGTAAGTTAAAATGTATACTATGTTAAGCAAATAAGATGGAGCATGCAGCATACACTTCAAAGGTTAGGAAGCAACATGTGAAAGCACAAAGGTAACAACAACTGTGCTATTCAGGAATCCAATTCCTATAAAGTATATTAAAAGAAGTATATGCATACCAAAAACTCTGATTTATGTGCCTACCCAGATAACTGGCTTCCATAAGACAAAGCTTTTTACCTATCCAAAAATATTAAGATTTTTAAGTTGTTTTTATTGAAACAGTAAACATCAAGGTAACAAGGCAGCTCTGACCTCAACTTTATCTGTATGGAATCCCACGGTGAAGTCAGGAGACTGCAAATCTCGAGGACTATTCACTCCCACATAGCTACCTTCAGAATCAGAGGTCAGCATTTCAGGAAGGGATTCAACAGAGTTAGTTTTATCCAGTTTCAACAGCCCTACATTGATTAGAAAAGAAAAATAGTAATGATTAATTTGCAATGTAAACTTACACAGTGTTTCTAAGAAAGGGATATGAAAACGTTCTGGTTATCTAAAATGTCTGGGGAACTTAAAAGTTACATGGAGTTCCACACTGCTGCTGGACTTGAAGCAGACAAGTCTAGTCTGGTACCAGTCCCCAGGCACACCTCCTTATAGACTGCTTCGCTCATCACTGGTTGAGTCTGTTAGTTTGGCATCTTCTACTTACCCCGAACTGGATATTTTAGGCTACCCTGATCTCATCAGCTCTCAGAAGAAGAAGAGGAGATTGGATTTATACCCCGCTCTTCACTACCCAAAGGTGTTTCAGAGCGGCTTACAAACTCCTTTTCCTTCCCCTCCCCACAACAGACACCCTGTGAGGTAGGTGGGGCTGAGAGAACTCTTGACAGAGACTGCTCTTTTTCAAGAACAGCTGTGCCAGAATTATGGCTTGCCCAAGGTAATCAGATCCTTCAGATACAGAAGCTAAGCAGAGCTGGCCCTGGTTAGTAGTTGTATGGAAGACCACCAAGGAATACCAGGGTTGCTACACAGAGGTGGGCAAGGGTGAACCACCTTTGTACAGTACTGTTCTCGCTTTCTCACAATACAAGAACTCGTGGGCACTCAATGAAATTACCAAGGAGCAGGTTTAGAACAGATAAAAGGAAGTACTTCTTCACCCAAAGCATAATTAATACATGGAATTCATTGCCACAGGAAGTGGTGGTGGCTACAAGCATAGACAGTTTCAAGAGGGGACTGGATAAACATATGGAGCAGAGGTCCATCAGTGGCTAATAGCCACAAGGTATCGATGGAACACTAAGTCAGGGGCACTGATGCTCTGTATTCTTGGTGCTTGGAGGGCAATAGTGGGAGAGCTTCTGGAGTTCTGGCCCTGCTGCTGAACTTCCACTTGGGCTTTGGCCACTGTGAGACACAGAGTGTCGTACTGGATAGGCCTGATTCAACATGTTGAGTGCTGTAGTACCAGCCTGATTCAACATGGCTTTCTTATGTTCACCTCTGAATATCTCTTGCCTTGAAAACCCTACAGGGTTACCAGGCTCTGACTTGACAAGAAAAGCAAATCCTACCCTTATATCAGTCTGAAGCTCACTCACTGTGCAACTGTACCTTCTGGGAAATGTCTGGGCAGGAAGTAGAACCGTACTTGTTTCTCCTTATACCCTGACCAGCTTCCACCAAGGCACCCAACCCGTAACAATAAAGAGGCTGTACAAAGGAACAGGCTTCCTGAACTGCTGCCTATACAGGTATCAGAGTACTAAGGAAGAAACAGCCAGTACTTTCAGAACTTTGATGAGATTCGCTGCTGCTAAATCAGCCACTATGGCTCCCCTTGCCACTGATCCTCTTAAGTCAACCCTGGACCCTCTTCTAGAGCTAGACCTCAGTGCATGATGCACCCTCAGTGTAAACACACCCATTTTGGCCAGGTTGCATTTATTTACTTCCAACTAGGAGGATCAGAATGGGGAACTAGTACAGGGTCCATGGGGCCAAGTTGTTCATGTGCACATAGCAAAAACATTTGAAAGATATTGAGAAGTTTAACAAATATAATCCTAGAACAAAGTTTGAGTCCAGTGGCACCTTTTATTCAAACATATAAGTTTTTGTGTGCATGCACACTTCTTCAGATACAGTGAAACAGAATTTCCTCAACCATTACATATAGGTGGGGAGGTTACCAGGAAGGGCCAAATACAATCCCAGTGATTTCTTCCTCAGATTTAACTGACAAACTGATAGTTGGGAAGGCATATAATCCTTAGATCCACTGGGTTTGTTCCAAGCATAGAAGGCAGTTTTCCTGAACCATACTTGAAGCAATCAGCTACTCTTTTCCCCCCCTATACACTCCAAACTATTACATTTATTAATAATTGTGAGAAAGAGTATTAACATTTCAAGGTTATAACACTGGGGATTATTATGGTGAAAATCAATATATCTAATTCTCAACATGGGCCCACCTGTGGACACTCCATGGATTAGAGCCATGTAGAGAAAAGGAACATCTTTCTATAAACTTGGACAACTACCCAGGTCTACAGAAAATATGAAACATTCTTTATAATGGAGAATTAAACCCACCCCCAAATGGAGCAGAACTGACACTGAATTAAATTGGTTTTCACCTACATTTGAAATCTAAAACAACAGTTGTTAACTATATAGACCAGGGGAGAGCAGGCTTTTATGTTTCTCAATCACAAAATGGCAGCTCACTGAGTGAAACCAGTCACAAAATAGCAGCTCTTACTAAGTTACAGTATTGCAGGCCTGCAGTAGGGGGGGGGGCTTTCACATGCTTTTTTCCCCAAAGTAAACCCACTAGCACCCCAAATTGTAGCTCACCCTGCATCTCTCTGTTTTCCCTGGAAGAGGCAAAACCAAGTTTGGTGCAGAGGAAATAGTTAATATCATAATTCTTTCCCATCCAAAGCACACGTGCTTAATATCATAATTCTTTCCCATCAAAATATCAAAATATCATAATATCACAATTATTTCCCATAATTCTTTCCCATCCAAATATCATAATATCATAATTCTTTCCCATCCAAAGCACACGTGCACATGCATGGAAAATAGTGCTGGGTGCTGTCAATTTCCCATCCCCAGCAAAGGTGTATGAGAGAAGCTGTTGTGGTAGTTTCAGAGGCAAGGATAAGAAAGTGATTACCACAGCACTGGAGGAGGGATGGAGAGCTACTTTTATTACTTAAGAGAGTAACTAGTGACTGTCAAGTGACCTTCCGCCCAATTTTTTAAACCTGCAGGATCCAGCTTGAGACAGACACTTTCAAGCACCATTTACTTCAATGGGAGAGATTTAAGCATTGCAGTGAAATCAACAATCTTACAAGCACTTAACTCTAACTGGTTCTTGACTCCCTAAATTAACCATCCCTTCCAGTAACCATCCTATTAAGACCAGTCTTTTGCTAACCATTCTAACCCTGACATGCACACAGACAGAATGCAACAGCCTTCACACAAAGGATCACAACTAATTGTTAAGAGGCACGAGTCACTGTCACAGGCATTACGGGAACCTTTCTGACACTGGTTAGCATCTAGAAGTTTCCCCCCTGATATGCTTTCTGCACAGTGCTTTCTGTTCCCTCTGTTGTCTGTCAGTGTTTGTTTTATGTTCCTACTTCCTTGTCTGTTGGTTTATCCAGACATCTCTCCGGAGTGACTACTTCTGTAATGTCACGTTGAGCTTTTGCAACTGCATTGGGGGGGAGGCATCACTGGCAACTGCAAAACTGCAGTCACTGCACTGCATTCTGCTGGTTTCATAAATCAGTCCCATTATTGTTTATGCTTAATTAAACTTCATTTTATTCAAACTCAGAAGGAAACTGATGGAATCTTATGTGGTCAAACACCAATATGGCTAATGTTTCATTATCACTGTACGCCAATTGTAGTATTATGTTTTGTTTGCTGCTATAAGTGGTAAAACCTTTTTAAAGTTGACCAATACATTGAAATTTAATAAAGTGTTCCATTTCAAAATCACAGTTTGTTCTATTTTCTCATGGGCAACCCCCCCCCCCAAGCGGGCCACTCCATGCACATAAATTCCAGCATATAATGGTCGAAGGGGGGGGGGTGAGCCACAGTCAGATACACATCTCGCCTTCTGCTCCAGAAACCTGTGCATTGGCATCAAAAAACAGGAGGAGAATTTGATAGGGCTTTTAAGTTCTACAGTGAAGCTGCTTTTGATTGACTCTGGAGGAGAGGGTATGTCTTACCCACTTTCGCTTCCCTAGCCTGTCACTTTTACATACAGTATCACATACAGTATACACTTTTATATACAGTGTTAATGCAAATGTGGCATATTCTCTCTGCCTCACAGCCATAGTCAAGACAAACATAAAGTGACAATCCAGCAGCAACAGGGACCATCAGCAAGTCACCCTCTAGCCTGGAGAAATAACATCACACAGGAGAACAGATATTGGAGCACGCAGAGAACAAATTACCATGGACACACGAGGATCAGACATTTACCACTGATTCTATCAAATGAGGGCCAGCTAAAGGTCCACGGTTAACTCAAAAGTGATAATGGAATCATGTGAAGGAAAATGCTTCCACAAATTGCAGTGCCTCATAAAAATGAACAGATTCATATGATACTCATAATGAATAGGCATAGGTCTTATCCATATTCAAAGCCACACACAGTAATTAATGGATTTTTGTGACATGTCCATATGAGCAAACAATCTCTGCTGCTTGCCAATTACTCAAAAGAGTAACCTACAAATCACCCCTTTGAAGGAAGCTCATTCCTCACTAACCTGTGGAGGGTGGACTCTGAATTATATCCGATAAATTATATCCTCCTGAGCTGTCTGAACGTCTTCGAGGCTTCTTTTTAGCTTTAGCTTTTGCTTTTTTGAGAAGAGCTTCCCTAATTTAAACACATAAACATACGCATTTAGATTTAACTCAGTTTAAGAATTAATAACTGCATACGGCTATTCTTACTGCATACTCTAAGAAAAACGTCTTAATATCAGGATCACTTAACATCAGGATCACTTAATTAAGACTATGTTAGGAATTCAAGAATTCTTGACACTTTAAGATCCCCTCAGAGCTCTACAACATATCTGCTTAAACCTGGATCTTGCTCACTTTTAAATGGAACAGATGAAATCCACACCGAGCCTTTATAATGCACAGAAACAATGCAAAACAAAAGCTGTCTTAGTTAAAATACTTGGAGAAAAATAGTTTATTATTTGAGAGAACCTGGAACACTTAGCTTTCTTCTATATATTCATTTCTTGCTACCAAGCCATGCCACTCCATTCCAGATGTAGACTTGCTACTTGTGATCTTGTGAAAGCATGAAGCAGGGTTTGGAGAGATAAGAGAGCTGTATCAGAAGAAAAAAAGCTGGACCTTACTGAGTAGCTTGCTCTGTACTTAGTTCTTCTTTCAGGAACACAAAGGTTTCTCCTTCCTCAGGCTCCAACGAACTGATATCAGGGCCATCTTGATAAGGCGTAATTACTCTCCTGACCATAGCTGGAATCTACAACATCACAAATTCCTTTAAGCTGTATATTAGGGAAGACAAGCAGGCCCTGAACTAGTTTGGAAATTTAAAAGCTTGAGGCATAAGAGCCCTTCACAGTGAGTAGGTCTAATGAGAAGCAGAAATTTTCTATATTAACATGTAGAAGGACACTACTCTAAGGTTCAAACATATACCCTAAATTATCGAATGGACAAAATTCTCTTCTTCAGCTGTATTTCTCTCATTTTAACCTACACTATATCCATTAAGTTATTAAAGAATATATTTATATCCTTTCTTTTGCTCTGTAAAGTCCCCAGGATGACAAAACACTAAATTAAATGAACAGAAGCAATTAAAATACAAACACAAGCAGAATGAACAAAGCTTAACAAGAAACCACAACAAATAAACCTACTTAGCATAGGCTCTTCTAAAAATTTCTGCCTTTGAGGGGCACCAAAGCATCAACTGAGGAGGAACCAGGTAAATGCCCCTTGAGAAGCTACAGATCAGGTTTAAGCAAGCCCAGAAAGGGTTTAAAGATTCCAAGGCACAGTAAATCTCTGTTCCCCAAAAGGACACCTGTTACCCAAAAGCACCAGAACAGCTGGTTTATTATCTAGGGCACAATAACTAATAACAATGACAAACCACCTCTGAACATCTCTTGCCTTGAAAACCGTACAGGGTTGCCATAAGTTGACTGCAACTTGACAGCACTTTCCACCACCAAATGTATTTAAAGCTAGCTCCAGAAGGTATGAAAAAGGGTGAAAACCACCATTCCGAAGACACCAACAGCATCGTGCAGGGGTTGGACTAGATGATCTTGCCTTGAAAACCGTACAGGGTTGCCATAAGTTGACTGCAACTTGACAGCACTTTCCACCACCAAATGTATTTAAAGCTAGCTCCAGAAGGTATGAAAAAGGGTGAAAACCACAATTCCGAAGACACCAACAGCATCGTGCAGAGGTTGGACTAGATGACACTGCAGGTCCAACTCTATGATTCTATGAACAGAAGAAGAATTGAGAGAAAAGCAGGGGGCTCCTGCAGACTTAATGATGAGACATCTTGTATTAAGAATGAGGTGGTGGAAGAGATGGAGCTAAGGCTTGTATTTTTAAAATATAAGCTACTTTGAAGATCTTACGATTGAAAAAGCAGGACATACATCAAATAAAGGGAGTGAACTAAGTGCATGAATTCAGCAAGAGGACAAGGAAGTGAGGTCACAAGGCTCTGTTCTTCTCTTTATGTAGTTCCAGAAACCTTTAACTTGTAAGGCACTAAAGACAAAGAACAGCCACGAAGGTAGAAAACCCTAAAGAAGTTGAAAGAAGCAGAAAGGCAATGTAGATGAAATTTTCAGGGACCTGATCCCTTCATGACAGCTCCTCTGCTGTCTGGAAGAATTAGGATCTTAGGGCAAAAGCTAATCTGGCTGGGCAGATGATCCTTCAGAAGGGACTAGTTCCTGGGACAGAAAATAGATAATCTTGTCACACCAAGGGTACCCCCCTGGGAGTGGAAGAATATTGGTGGTTGATCCTTAGGAACATAGAGAGATGGGTCTGTGATAAGTGCTTTGATCACATGATAACTTGAATGCCTAGGAGAAATTGCCGAAGCCCCTCCTGTCGCTTCTGCCAAACGATCGCGGCATCATCGTCTTCTTGTCTCTATGAGGATCTTATCTAAAGAGTCACCGAAGAGACGATCACCCTGGAAGGGGTATGCCGCTACAATGCCCTTCGCATGCAGGTCCACTTGCCATGCTCTGAGCCATAGAGTTCTTCTGGCCACCACTGTAGAAGCGAGAGCCCTGGAGGAGAAGACCATGGCATCGAGTGTGGCATCTGCAGAAAAAGAAGAGGCCTGGAGGAGCCTATTTGCTCCCTCGGCCAAACGTTTGTCAGAATCAGAAATTAGTTGGGACATCTTTTTGGACCAGGTAATGGATGCCCAAGCCACCACTGTGGCTGTGGCAGTCACCTTGATAGCCATAACTGTAGCCTCATGGGCCTTGCGTAAAGCAAATTCAGCCTTTCTATCCAGGCTGTCTCTTACCATTACTTCACCAACTTCCAATAACAGTCCGAAAGTCTGGAGCACCGTGAACGGAGCATCCACTAGGGGAACCTGTAAGAGCTTATCAGTGAAGTTAGGCAGAGTATATAATTTCTTAACATTAGCTGGGCAGCTTTTATTAGCCATGGGCTAAGCCCATTAACTAATTGTTCCTCCAGAAACTCAGGAAAGGGAAAACCCTTTTCAAAACCAGGAGTTCTAGGGAAATAGTCCTTACTTCCCCTGGGCCTGGACCCGTCTGCGGATTCAATTTCAAGTGAACCATCAGGTTTAGGTTTAGGAATGAGATCTAGGGTGGACATAGTCTTTTTTAGTAGATACATATAGTCCTCAGATTTAAAAAATCTCATAGAGGGTTCAGGAAACTCCATTTCCTCCTCCTCTTTATCAGAGAAGAACTCTCCCTCCTCCCTTTCAATGGACTCGGTATCCTCAGCTTGCGAGGGTTCCCACTGAGGATCTGTCCCGTAGGAACAATAGTGATCCTTTCTAGCTGCCTTTGTGGGCCATCTGGTCCTATCTTCCTCTGGGTTCTCAAGGCATTCCCCTCTGTGAGCCCCGTAGCAGGAGAGGGTATGTGGGGCAGTTGGGCACCTAATCTCCGAGTGGGGGCCCCTATTTAGACTGGCAAGCTCCCTTCTCACCGTCTCTTGGAAAAATTTAATTACCTCAGGTAATTTAATTACCTCAGGCTTGCACTGCCTCCGGGATTGCTCTTGAGTAGATCTTGTGAAGGCGTCTCGTCCCTGCGGCCTGGCAATCCCTGGGCATTGGGGATTTGCAAGGCCTCATCTATGTCAGAATCATGGCTTATGGAAGCAGCGACAGCTGCCCTGCAGCCTCCAACTCCTTGTTCCGGAGTTTTGCGCTTTGCCGTTTGAGCCAAAATGGTGCCCGCATCATGCTCCGTGGCGGGAGAGTGGGTCCGTTTTTGCGCACCAGATTTCTTTGATGTCGCAGAGCTTGCCGCAGCTGCGGGAGCAGGAGACATGGCTCTGTTTTGAATTGTAGCTCTCTGAGCTCGTAAAAGCACTTCACCAGATTCTTCCTTGCTGAAGAATCCGTCTAGCTCTTCCCTCTCCGACATACGCCGGTCAGGGTGTCGGGTGGAGTCCGTAGGAGGGAAAGGGGGGGGGAGGGAGAGAGAAACCAGAATGAAAAAGAGAAAGATAAGGAATGAAACAGCTGAAGAGGCCAGAGAGTTAAGAAAAGATTTTCCAATTAAAGGCACGAGTGCTAGCAAAGTGCTGCTCTCCCTATAGAGGCAGGAACTAAAGTGAACTAAGGGGCATGTCCCACCAAGAGGACAGGAAGTGAAATTTTGTTCCTGCCTCCCTAAGGATAGGGTGGGAAACACCCAGCAAGATGTCCTCCTCTCAGGGGAGAACTTTGAAGACCATCTGGTACAAGTGTTGACAAAAATCCTCCAGTGACCACTTGAAAAAATCTTGCGAAGGTCTGACGAAGAGCAGAATATCCCATTGACGTCATTCAAAAAACAGGACCTCAGGCATGATGTTTTTCTGAAAGAATCGTGTGCACCAAATAGAGAGATAACAAGCTCTTACATAGACCAAACAAATCTCTCAAATCCTCCATCTTCAGAGAAGACTAAGGAGAATGTAATTTTTTCCAGAAGACAAAACAGAACAGTTCTTTTATTTCCTTCCCAAATGAATCATAGAGAAGGGAAGATCGATTTTACCTTTAAAAATAAAAGGCATAAGAGCATGATAGTGGGAAAAAATGTACAGAAAAAGCAGAAAAAGATCAAATACTATAAGTAAATTTTATATGTAATAATTGTTTGACTGGCTCCAATCTACACTGATCTATGACCACTGATTTAATTGATTTACAGTAACATAAAATATAAAACACAAAATAACTTGAAAGCTGCACAGTAATGTGACTCTGTGTAATAGACTGTTTTCTCTGCCTTGTACAATACCAATATAAAAATGTGTTTTAAGTTTCAATACTAGCAATATGGAATGTAACACCATGAAAAAAGACCCTAAAGATGGTTATAAGTAAATATTATAAGCAATGAGTCTAACAGGTTCTAATTTACCTTGATTTAATAATAGTACAATGTAAATATGATGGAAGTCTTATAGTAAGGTGATCTAAACTTTTTTATTAATAACATGAATTTATAGCTTGAAAGGAAAGAATTGTATGGATTAGATGAGAATTTTTGGGCAGAAAATGACTTTTTATTTCTTTTTATTTATTTCTTTTTTCCCTTTCTTAAAAAGATTGAAAAATAGCACTGTGTGACAAATCTTTACATAACAGTAAGACTATATAGTATAGGGAGCAAGATAAGATAGTTATAAATATAGATAA